ATTTTGACAAATATAATTTTATGTAATGTTTGCAGTTCGTTTTTCGATGCACAATAGTTTCATTACACGGGAGTGAACGCTTCTGGTTATCGGATTATGCGTACAACGCTCTTTTCAACCATTTATACTTCATTCAACCAACGTTGGCAAATGAGGGAGGATAGATATTCCGGGGTTCAAGAAAACGTGCTCGTTTTTTTGAGTACACTAGGTATACTTCATACCAAGTGCATGAGTATTGTAGGTTTTGTCATAATCGTGAACAGAATCAAGAATGTCAATACTTACATTCGTTTGTCGCGTGGGAAACCTGCCAATGAACTACTTTTTCAAAGGGTATCGTGAAAATGAATCTAGAGAGCATGTGGTCCGTTTTCATCGACGTTCCCTCCACAATTAGGTACAAAACACTTGTAGACCTCGGTAAAACTTTAAATGAATGGTTGCATTACCCGCATAAGAAACAATCTTCATCGGTATGAAGGGATTATTAATAGTACTTCTAGTTGTTGCTGGGAGAACGAATCTTAAATTAATAATTATGCAAATAAACCTTGTCAGTCTGCACAAACCACGATGTACACAGAAAGCGTGCATAGTATAAGATAGAGGAATTTAAGTCTTCTAAGTGTGACGGCACAAACATCACTACCATCATCAACAATTGAAATATATGTGGCATTAGTATTCAATAAGTACTCATCCAGCAAAAGTTCAATAGTATGTCCAAAACATCTCATTCTGTAGATTACAATGTGAGGAACGATTCTTTGAGGCTTTTGGCTTCAACATTTTAGTTATTAACGCTCTAAAACACTTTGTTTAGAAGTTATTTAACAATTTAGCTGACGAAGTGGTGCGGGTGTCATTTGTCATGACTATTTAGATGCATTTTTAAACAAAACCTTTATATTTGTAATTGCAACTCGAATTAATTGCAATTCCTTACCTCTCCGTGAAATTATCTTTCTTTAGAGATCTCATGAACAAAGATCCGTTGAGTGAGAGAGCCGCAAAAGGTGTGTATACTACTGAAATAACATAAGAGATGATTATATTTTCATCTTTATTTTCGACTATAGTTTGAGTAGTAGTCGTGTATTGAGTAACTAAAATTTTCTACATCAGTACATTTAAAAAAAAGTTGCATTACGGTTTAATCTACATTATATTTAATCAGCGCTTTTAATAATTGTTTACTCGGTGTATGTTGTTGCTATTACTCCAACAATCTGCACCAATCAGTTTGAAATAGAAATACCATGATCATTTTGCTTCATTCATCTTTTGTCGTTCTTCTATCGATCGCAGCTGTGATCTTGGGTCGCCATGCTTACTGGAACAAGGGCAGGAAATATGCCTTCATTAGCGGACAACTCTCCGCGATGTTTCATCCCGTACTCAGCTCAATGCCACTCTGCCAACGATCCAAAGACTATACTTCGATTTATTTACAATGTATTTTACATATCATTAGCTGTTATGGTGTCATCTAATCGGAAGCTTAAGCGTCAGTACAATGTCGTCATTATAGTGACGTTCAAGCTCTCGATTGGATGACACTGTAAGAGCTGATGAGCTGTCAAAGGACATTGCAAATAAATCAAAGCATACAACTTTAATTTGTACCCAGAGTAGAATTTTGCATTAAGTGAAGAATCATCTTTGGGTCATCTGAGGGCATTGTAACCTTAACGCTCTCCTGGGCACATTCTCAGCGAAGAGCAAAATAATAACCGCGCGAACGAACGCAATTTCACATTGCTCGTAAAGACCAATTCGCAATGCCCGTCAACTGACCGATTCCACGACGTCCATCGCGTCCGCGGCCACTCGTGCGAGCAGCGCCCCGCCGAGCGCCCCGAGCGCTGCCTGCCCGGAACGGAAAGAACCTTCCAGCGAAGCGCCGCCGCCGCGCCAAGATGTGCGCCGAGTTGTCTTCCGTCAGTCAATCGACAGGTGTTATCGACGGGAAATCCACTGTAGTAAAACAACTTTCAGTGCATCCAATTTAAAGATCACGGCAAATCGTTTCCTTGTAAAACTAGAGACAATACAATAAGCACTCACAAGATAATTTGCTATTTCAAGAATTATTTATATTGTTATTCACATAAATGTACTGTTGAATGAAGAATTATCTTCCATCTGGTCCCTTCCGAGTGGATTTCCCTGGCTCACGTAGGCCGCAATTCCCCCATATGCGCTTAAAGATCAAGACCGCATTTGAAACCAGAGGTCAATGCAGATTATAATCCAAAATTCTCAGTCAGGTTATAGATCTCACAGCCACTCTCAGATCTGCGACAGACATTGCTGCAAAGTATTTGAGCCACGAACGTAGAACTTGCACTTTAATGTACATAAGGTTACGAGGCTCGACGCGTAGGTCGAATTAAGCTGCTATTGGTAGAATTCTGGCGACCGGCTGCTCTGATCGGAAGTTTTCTGACATTTGTTCTCTCAACGCTAGGCGAATGCCAAACTAATTCCCTAACAAGCAATACCTTAACAAACAGGATACGTACCTTGTGCGATCTTCCCTTCCTCTTGCTTGTCTTCAACTCACTCCTTACACACACACACACACGCCATGAGACCAATCGGGAGCTTACAACTTGCCCCGCTGGGGCATTATCCTGCTGGGCGAGATTCTTGCAGGTAGAAATATTCCGCTTGCCGACGAGTAGGGTAGAGCCGAAACATATTCACTAGACTAACAGACACCGCAGTTGACGCCCGAAATCATGAAACAATCCATCGAGCTGCGACGCTGTTTATGTCTCAGCCAACGTTCTCCATAAAAGATTGAAGTTGAATGAAAGCGGCAGTTGCTGGCCGCTGGGGCCAGAGGTCTGCACCACATGACTGACATGGTGGAACATTCTGAATTTTGTTGCCATGATCATGCATGCTGGCAATACGAAGTTCTAACTTAAATGTTTGAAATTTGAGTAGGGAGGGATTTTGTGAAATGCAGCTTACGTTGCTGACCGTGCATTGTGACGCAATCACGCGCAGGTTCAAAGGCTGCCGGAGCGGATGGTGTATTGGATGCCGTGGGGTGGGGCGGGTGGAGGGGAGGCTGGAGGCGGATGCAGCGCGAAGCCGATCGCAGCTTCAGGCGTCGTCCCCTCGTCTTCGAGAATGCTCGACACCCCTCGCCCCCCTCCATCTCCCCCCCCCCCCGCCCACGCCGTCCTCTTCGCCGTCCTCGCGAGCGACTCCAGCAACACTTCAGTGCCCTCGGGAATCTTTTCCCTGCCGTGACAAGCGAATCTTTAAAACTTTACAAGCATACACTGCATCTGTACCAAGATTCTGATAGATCATTGTGCATTTGCTGCTATGAACAGCTATTGTGAATTACAATTATCATTTCATATTTCTCGTTTGTATATATTCAGCGTGCTATCCTCATGAAAGAAAATTATGGTGCCGTGGGATGAAAAGAACCACGGGGTTCTGGAGTTTAATCAACGCCAGCTATATCGATCTATTTAAGTGGTATTTGTTTAATTCTACCCACCAAGACCGCAGCGCTAAAACACACAACAGCACGTTTTTGGAAATTAATTTGACTCCAATAGCCAGATTAAAAAGACATATCAGTCCTCCAACCGGAGACCCCGACGCGTCGTATGGATTATCATACGTTTCGATTGTTGCACGGGAAGGTGTCTAACCGTGATGGACGGAACCGGACATCCGAATATCAGCCCACTCGGAAGTTTCTCGAATACTGTTTGTCGATGACTTTTCAAATCTAGTTCTTTATTATTTGGACATTGAATTAGTTATACCTCTATAAGTTCGTTTTGTCGACCAGAGGACGCACTAAATTTACCAAATCTGTGACCAAATCATATTTTACTCTAAATTTCTTTGCGAAATTACATTCAAAATTACATTAGCTTACCTAATTATGTATTTTAGTGGGTATCGTTTGTTGCGTATTTTAACAGAATTATGTATTATTGTCTTTAATGATGACGGTCGCAGAACGTATAGTCAAGACACAAAAACACATTTGCGAATAGTAGGTCTACAGCATCTGGGGTCGGTTAGACTCTTTGTTGGTTGTGGTACACTCGCTTCCTGTTGCTGTTTTTTTCTCATTATAATGTTGAAAGAAAATTGGCTCAACGAATGATTCTTATTGTAATTGCTTATTTCTGATAGTTGAACTATGTGAATTGAAAACTGGGAAACATAGTTAATGAACAAAAATTTGTAAAAGATTCCTTGTTCATAGGACCCCGCAAAGAAATTATTAGATACAGTTTAAAACAGAGTAAGTGTTTATTTTTATCTCTATGTAATTTGAAATTGCTCAGTTGGGTAAATCATGATTGAGCAATTTTACCGAAACAATGTACCTATAAAGGCGCAATGAATTTCCAATTCACTGTACGTCACTGCAATGTACACTGTATTTGAGGGAGAAGCAGATTGATGTTTGGAAGCTACTAGAAAATCAATGAAGGTAAACGGAGTACATGAAAAGACAGGAAGAGCGACTATTGTGCTAATAGATTAATGTAGAGTTTATAAAAACACATAAAGTGTGTGCGTTATCTACCAATTTCGAAAACTATAAGAAGTAATTATAAAATAAGAGTGTTTTTTAAATAAATATTTGTGGACAGAAGATAAAAGTTTGTATGGTTAAATAAAGTTCATTTGTATGGTGATTTAATAAATAATTTAATTAATAACATTCACTGCACAAGGCTTACAATTTTTGAAGATGACTTCATTTTGTGGTAGAATGTCTTCCCAATATTCTTTATTTGTGAATTACAAATTTCACTACGAACTTGAAGATACTTTAAATGAGATAATGCAAAACGAAAGCAGACGAATCGCAGGAGAACGGAGTATCTTGAGCATTTTATTCTTATCAATTTTGTTGGGCATCGTGGCGACATTTGTTCGATTCAGTCAGATTTTAGGTGCTCTTAGGTAGCTGAGGCCCAAACGCTTAGGTAATAAACTATTTATCTGTTGCGAGTAAAGTATCCAGGCCACACAACTATCGGCCTTAGATGAGCAATTTTCATCATGTACGTGAGTTCCTTGCGCCACACTAACCAGATGACGTAGAACACACCACCGAGCACCAGAAAAGCACAGACCGGGAGGAAAAGCTCCAACAGCCACGTGGGCTCTTTGCAGTCCACACTCGTCTCCAGCAGGGGAGTCCGCTTTCCACCGCTCCCACACGTCAGCTCCCGCACGTGCTGCCGGTCCAGGTTGGCCTGCGCGTTCACCCACCTGGCGAAGTCACGCACTTTGCACGGGTCGCAGCTGAGGGGGTTGCCTTGCAGCAGCAGGTGCCTGAGGCCCCACTGGTTGCGCAACGCTCTCAGCATGTCCCCGCCAATGGCGGTGAGGCGGTTGCGTCGCAGGTCTAGTGTGATGACGACGTGGGGAGAGAACGCGTCCGCGGCCCACTGTGAGATGGCGTTGTCCGCGGCCAGCATCTCGGAGGAATGCCCCCCTGCGAATGGAAGAGGCATTTAAAGCGTGTCCTCTCTGCCAGTGGCTGCCTCCAGGCCCCGCTTACTACATTAATCTACCTCTGTTCCTCTCCCTCTGTGTCTCTCTCTGCCCATCTCTCTACCACTCCCTCCCTCTTTCTCTTCCTCTTTTCCCCTTCTCTTTTTCCCTTCTTCTCTGTCATTATCTTCCTCTCTCCTATCGATCTTTAGACGAGCTCGATCTCTGGTTTGAAATCCACTGCGTACACTCGCAGCTCCTGCTTGCATACACTCGGGGATAGTTAATGCGACAAGGGTAGCAATAATTAATCTTCCAGCCTTAAGGATGGAGGTAAGACAGAGAAGGAAGAATCGCACGCGATCCTTCGCTTGCGGTCTTATGACTCTGCTGCCGCATCCTGAAACAAACTGTTCAGAGCAGTCGGCCTCTAGAATATTCTATTCACAAGGTGGTCTCCTGCGATGCAGCTAGAGTGACGAAAATTTGCCAATCTGAATATGTTGAGATGCGAATTTACTTCGCGTTTTACAGAGCTTTAGTTGTGGATTCGCCATCAAGTGCTTTCATGCATCAGATTGATGAACCGATAAAACAAACAATATTTGTGAAGCGTGAAACTAGACAATACTATTAACAACAGATGAATCACTAATATGTTTCCTCCATGATTTAACGTTTGATGTGTTGATTGCGTTGATATTGATTGCTAGGATGTTTCTTGATTGGAAGCTGTTTTGAATTGTGCGGGCAGTGTAAAGGTGAAACCAATTTTGTTAACGTGAACCGCTACTCTCACTCCTTTAGAAACATTAGTAGTGTTAAGGTTTTCTACAGTATCTAAAGAGTGTAAGTCGAATTCAGCCGCTGTCTGGAGGAGAAATCTAGCGGTCGGGTGCTCTGATCGGTAGTCTTCCGTGGTATCTCCGATCGACCCCAAGCGAATGCGGAGCAATGAAGCAACGGGCAACGGACTGCGCGCGATATTTCCTTCCTCTTCCTGGTTCAATCTTTACCATTTCTAACACACACTTGCACTCACACGCAGTACATTTCCACACTAGTCTGGGACAAGATGGGAAGTTCGAGCTTGTCTCGGCTGGGGCAGTGCCATGCTGCTGGTTACGGAAAATTCCCGCAGGCCGACGTAGGTGGTGCCCGATCTCGCTAGCCAGCTGGTAAAGACCACTGCCACCTCCCGCGATGAAAACCTTTCCTACGCTTACGGGACTAATGACCTGAGCAGTGTCACTAAGGAATCGATCCATTGAACTAACACCCTCGCATGTAGCGCCAGCGCCTGCGGGGCGCCGGGCGGGACGCTCGCGAAGGCCGTTGTCGCGCAGGGACAGCTCCTGCAGCAGCGCGAGGCGGGCGAAGGGGGCGTGGCCCGGCGCGAAGGCGCGCACGCCGTACGCGTCCAGCGCCAGCGCCACCAGCGGCAGCGCCGGGAACGAGTCACGCGCCAGCAGCGCGCCCACCGCCGCCGCGCGGCGGGCAGCTGGGCCAGCGCGCGCCCCGTCAGCCGCAGGCCCGCGTAGGCCGACGCGTTGAGCAGTCGCAGCGCGGGGCTGGCGGCCGCCACGGGTCCTGCCCTGCGCACAGCCCATACACCACCTCTTGTCAATATTCATTATTGCTTATTTATTACCCATTAAGAATATATTTATTTAAATCTTATCCACACTTTTTCTCCCATATATAAACTGATTTTTAAACGGTTTTGATACACTAGTAAAGAAAACGTATCTCAATATTCTAATCGTTGTTACCAATTTTTTAAAGCTAATAACTCTATTCCAAAAGATGATAATTATGTTCTTTTTATATTCTGGCTTCGCGTGTCCCAAAATTGGTAGTTTAAAAAATGAGAACAACTCGTCTTTGTTACAATTTTCTGTATCATAGGATTTTTTTTGTTTCAATATTTTTTAATCGTGTGTCCGGTGATTTTTTTCTCCATCAGCCTACAATAAAATACCGATGAACATTTGATGAAGTTGAGTTCCAAAATAACGAACTTTCTTTACTCTATATGACTACTAAAATACAAGAGTAATACCAAATAAGAAGCGTCATGTGAAGCATTTCCTCTTTATCTCTTTCATTTTCATTCAAATGGACTAGAAGGTGCGATCTTAAAGGAACTGGTTCCAGGGCACGCTCATCCTTGGGCTCAGGAGGAAAACCCAACGGGGATCGGACGGGCTGCCTCTTTTCGGTTGACTGATTAGTGCTTCCGTGCGCGATGACAACTAAGATCTTCATCGCAGGGAATGTTTTGCTCCGGAGGTGGCGGCCATCTTTCCCCGCTAAATTGAGAGATTGGCGCCGACCTCCCGTCGGGTAGCGGGGTTTCCCCAACCACGTATCTCCCACCAGCGGGGCACCGCCTCAGCCAAGACAAGCTGTAAGCTCCCGATCTCGCTCCCATAATGTGTTGCAGCGTAGTGCATGGGTAAATGCGTGTATGTAAAGGATGAGGATAGGACAAGGAAGAGGAAGAAAAGATCGCGCGCGGTCCTTGACCTATTTGTTAGAGAACTGCTCTGGTATTCACCTCATATGGATCAATCTGCGAAAAACTACTGATGAGAGCAATCAGTCGCTAGAATTCAATCTGTCTAGCTGGTGACAAAACTCCATCCACCATGGGGATTCAAATCTAGGAGTTCCCGGTCAGAGGCACAGCAGTGAGATCTGTTGAAGCCCTGAGCCGCCTATCCCGGTTGTCTTTTCAAGGAGGTAGGTAAAATCCTCCGGAAACGTTTAGCGCGGGATGCAATCAGGGTACGCCCGGCCTGGGGAAGGGCGAGCGGGCGCGCCGCCCGCCGTCACGGTCGGCACAAATCAATAGAGGGCGCTGTGCCCCTTGGCCTTGCACGACTTATTGCCGATGCCACTTCGCTGCGCCACGCGACCGCTTCCGAATTCCAATTCTGGTTCCTCTGTGGACGAGTGTACGCCGTGCAACGACTAGGGAGACGTCATGGCCTCGGAATAAAATGAATTAATTACTCTCTAAATCAAATACGTGCATGTGGATGTAAAACAAGGGTTTGCAAGCAGAGAAATCCTAACGAAAAACAGGCGAGAAATTGCAATTTCTTTGCACTGTTGAGGAGTTTTTTCGAATGTGCAAACACGATATTTGCAGGTGATGAAAGAGGGAACAATCTCACTTCAAAGTTTTCATGCCGGCAAAGCTGGCTAAGGTGGTCAAATGGAGTCAGTGCATTTTCGACACACACACATGCTCAGGCCGAATTCAGCCGCTGCCTGGAGGATATTTATAGAATGCCGGAGCTGTATCGTAACAAACTGAGCATGGACCTCGCCCCCTTATACACACACGCACACGCACTACATAATCACCCTTGCCGGGAGCGCAGAGCTTGTGGGGCGGCGCCCGCTGGGGGATTCACTTGGTTGGGGAAAAGCCCACGTGGGTCGGCGCCGGATCGCGCTCTGCGGCGGTGGATGACTCCGCCACCTCCCGCGGGGAAAGTGAGCGCTGCAGTTACGAGGTGAATGGCCTTAGCAGTTGTCGAGTTCGGAACCATTAATGAAGCAGTCACTTCCGTTTGCATTGCCTTCCTAAGGAAGGTGGATGGGCACGGAAGTGATGAATCGACGAATCTGAATAGAATCATGGAAGAATAGGGAGAAAAGATGGAGCGGTACTCTAAAACAGCATTAAATGCTCGTTTTGGTGCTTTTTGCAGTTTAAATGATTAAAAGTCAAAATTTTGCATTTATAGGGGGTCATTTAAAGGTCATAAAACGAAATAAACGGCAGCAATGTATGAAATATAAATTGGATAAATGTACTTATCAAACCACACAGACACCATACATCTGGTATGACACGGAATCGAAACAATGCTTTCACAGAAGAGAAAGAATCGTCTCAGAGAAGTAAAGAAGTGAGAAGAAGCCTCAAACGGAAGTGGAAAAGCCTGTTAAGAAAGTGAAAGAAGCCTTGTACGGAAGTGAAAGATCGCTCTTACAGAAGTGAATGATTCCTATTACGGTAGTGAAAGAAAATGAATTTGCGCTCTCACAGAAGTCAAAGATCTCTCTTGTGGAAGTGACATCCATGAGAGCATCGCATTACGGAAGTGGACGATGCGAGCCATCCGGCCCCAAAGTGCGCGTTGCAGGTAACGAAAGAGGAAGAAGCCTCTTACGGAAGCGAATGTCGGAGAGCCCGCAGCGCGTCGCCCAGCGGCGCGTCCGTCACCGTCAGCCGCTCCAGGCGAGCCACAGCCACCGCGCCCGCCAGCGCGCGCAGCTCTCGCAGAGCGACGCCCAGCTGCGCCTCCAGCGGCAGCAGCTCCGGCGGCGCGCGCAGCGCGAACGGACTCGCCCACGCCTGGCGGCGCTGCCCACCCTTACACTCTGCTTGGGGACCCCACAGGAAAATAATCTTGTGCAACACTCTGAAAATTATTTACAGGAACTCTCCTTTTAGGTATGCTACTTATATTTAGTTTTTAAATGATTTTACTTTCCCGTATACGTTCGAACATACGTAGTAATGTACATAGTATAGGGAAAGTTGTTACAGAAAATCGATTTAGAGATTTCAACGAACTACACGTTTTCGTATCCACTGATATCGAAAAAGTGGTGTTTTTTAAACGCCCGTCTGTCCGCCGTCTGCCTGTCCGTCTGTCCGTCTGTCCGTCTGTCCGTCTGTCTGTCCGTTCGTCCGAAAGACGAATCACAAGAACCGCAATCACTTCCCGATGGAGAAAATTGTGGTTGTGCGCATTTAAAGACACGTTTTGTAAATATTTGCCGGTTCTTGCCATCTACATCTTCTACACCATAATTTCGAAAACGGCAATACCAAGTAGCCTTCCCTAACGTAGAAGAAAGTTGAAAATGGCTATTTGTAAGGGATTCATGAGGGTGCCTTAGATTGCTTTTGTCCGTAAAATCGCTTCTTTGTCCGCTAGAGAAGTGCGAACTACAGTTT